GCCGCGGCGCCCTGGGCGAGTGCGGAGCAGAAGCGGAGACGCGCCGGGCAGCCCTCGCTGAGGGGGAGGTGAGTCCCTCTTTCCTACCTGGCTTCCGAGCAGCAAAGGCAGGCGGGACACAGAGAGAAACAGCCCGTAGCCGTCCTTTCTCTGAGCAGACATTTAACAGGACTCCACACACGTTCCTCACATGCATACATGCATACCGCCCTTTGAAACCCAGCGGGGTCAGCCTGGTCTCCTCGGGTGCCTTTCAGGAGCGGCGCGTGTTGTTCTTTCTGCCCGCCCGCCCCCTCGCCGGGTCCTCTGCCACTGCTTCCCTTGGCGTCCTTCGGCGCCTCGCCGCCCGGCCACCCGAACTTGCTTCGGCGAGTAGAACCTTCAGGGCATCCCTCCCTCCATCCTTCGCTTCTCGGCCTTTTATTCCCGCTCTCTTTTCAAGGGAGGACCAAAAACAAACCTCCAGGCAATTTGTGTGGAGTGGGCGGGGAATTAAAAAGCCTTTCCTTTCCTCACGAGACTTTCTGGTGAGAGGGACCCACAGAAGTCCCCAGAAAAGTTCGCTCTGGTGACGGCGCGGCAGGCTTTTCTTTGCAGGGTGACTCGGGAGTAAGCTTTGCTGAAGCCCAGGGGACCACGTGGGAGTCCAGGTGAGCCTGGTGTTCGGGTTACGACTCCCTCACAGTAATAATAATGGGTGGCCCTGCAAAGAAGGGGCCCGTTTGTCACGGGTGCTGAAATGGTTAAAGGCGACGCACTGGACGTTGCTCCGGCTGTTGGGCAGCAGCGCTCAGTGGTCTCGGGTGGAGGGCTTGCTGCCTTTCGTGTTAGCTGGGGGTGCGCGGCTGGAGGGGTTCATTGTCCCAGGCACCACAGACGCACGAAAGTGGGAGTGACTGGAAACCCACCTCCGGATTTGAGGAAACTGTTCAAATTTTGTGTGTGTGTGTGTGTTAAACAGTGAAAAAGGTGGGTGCAACCGATTTAAACGGTGACGGTTTCTGCGAGATGGTTTAGGGGTGGGTTGCAAACACAGCTCAAATCTCATGGAGATTAAGGGCCGGACTTCAGTTGCCCCTGTGCTAAGAACTGAATGTCGCAGAGCTTCCACTCACAGGGTTTTATTTATTTATTTATTTGATTTATATACCGCCCAGAGTAGTAGCCAAAGCCACTCTGGGCTGTTTACAACAAATAACAAAAAAAAAAAAAAATAACAGAGTAACAAAATAGCAAATAGTGACATTAATACATAAGAGTTGAAACATGAAGATTTGTTTTTTATGAGCATGAATTATTTTTCCAGTTCCCTATAAATTTAACTGCGGTTTCCACAGTCTGGGGGGGGGGCATGGGGTTGCATTTGCTCAGCAACAGTTTAGTATTATGAGCTATCGGGGGGGGGGCATGGGGTTGCATTTGCTCAACAACAGTTTAACATTATGAGCTATCCCAATTAAGATCCATTAACTTTACAAAAGAACAGTTCCTAATGGTTTTAAAAGAACTGCTTTGTTGGTTTAGATTTACACCTGCTGCTTGCATTTTTAGACCTTCTGTGGAGCTCTGACTGTAAAGACTATCAAGAGTGCCCACTTCTGGTATTGTATTGCTTGCTGCACAGGAGTTTTTGCATTTTAACACTGAGCTGTGCACCTTTCCCAATCTGGGATTAGAATCCTCTGTATCCTTAAATTGGGAGGGGTAGGAGTGATGAAAAGTAGGGTGCTTTTACACGTACTGGCAATCACTCTCTTCTGTGTTACTTGGCTGAAAACTTGGAGAGTGAGATGCAGGACAGTATCTGCTGCATGTCCTCCCCAAACTTCATTCTGCAAAAGATGTGCTAGAACTTGTGTACATACACATGGTGTGCGTTCTCTCCATGTGTTAAAAAGTTCTGCAAGAGTCAGAGCCCCTGATTCTGCATAAATTTGCATATCTCTAGGCTCTCTTCAATGACTGTTAAATCTTAAGTTGATTACCAACATTTCTTCTCTATTTCTGTATAAATGTCTTCTTACTGAGCCTTTTACTCCAGCCATCTACTGGAGTGGGATCAGTCCATGAAAGTCTATGTCATATAAAATATATTAGTCTTCAAATGCCACAATATTTTGTTGGTTTTGTCCTGAAACAGACCAATACAGCTCTTCCCTTCCTGGTATATTTGGACTATAGTTCTCAGAACCCCCAAATGAACACGACCACCAAAAGTTACTTTTCATAGTCCTGGTGAATCAATGGAACTTATGGAGGAGTTGACTCATTAAATCTCTGTTGATTCAGTAGGCCTACTCTAGTGCAGTTTACTGTGCTAAGGAACAGGATTTGGTCTTTACCAATACAGCTCTTCCCTTCCTGGTATATTTGGACTATAGTTCTCAGAACCCCCAAATGAACACGACCACCAAAAGTTACTTTTCATAGTCCTGGTGAATCAATGGAACTTATGGAGGAGTTGACTCATTAAATCTCTGTTGATTCAGTAGGCCTACTCTAGTGCAATTTATTGTGCTAAGGAACAGGATTTGGTCTTCGTCTTGAAAAGGAGCTCTCCATAAGAATCACTGTATGCTAAACTCCGCCCACAAACCATCCTCTTAACAAGAACAAAAAGGTGTGAGAAGGCGAAGAAAAGGGATGGATGTTATCATTTTGAACCTTGTGTCATTTAATCAGCAGGGAAGGGGGCACTGACAGGACCAGAACTGAAAAAAAAAGTATTTTTTTACCAGAGCAGTGCTTCATCTGGACAAGCATTAGTTTCAAACAGATGTCTGGGGCTGAGCATATTATCAGTGGCAAAAGATGCATTTTACACTTAATAGCAGTGAAATACTACTTAATGTTGCAGTCATGTACTTGCTTGCCCTATGTAAAGCTCCAATTAACTTAATTAGAATTGCTTTTGAGCAGAAGTGTAGGACTTGGCTGTGCCATAGTTACCTGTGGTGCAATCTTAATTTGCCTCTGCTGGATCGGCAGTATTCTGGACAAAATATTCAGAAGAACTAGGCACCTGATGTAAACATGACTTTAAGTCTTTCGCCTGAAGTCCGCTAAAGCTCTTAAAACTTCCTGTTTTTATTTTCCTCTCTATGTCATCATCAGTTGTGAATAGATTCTGAATTCATCGGACTTGTCAAAAAGATAAATCTGGCAGCATGGAAACTAGTAATGATTTTTGTATGGACGTCTGGTAACAAAGAAGATGATAGTCGAAACATATCCAGCTGCACTGAGCTTAGCATCTTTTGGGATATGAGCATGGGCTCTTGTGCCTTATGTGGATTTAGCTGACTTCCAGTCCTCCTCCTATGTTTATTGTGGTTTACACCCACCTCATGCAGTGGTCTGCTGGCAAAGATTCCAGGCCTTGATGCTGTGCTGGGGTAAGCAGTTTGTAAAAACCTGGCTCTGAAAGGATATATTTGGTTAAAGGACCTACTAGCCTTTTAAAATGATTGTTTAATGGCTGAAATCCTATCCTATTGCTTAGTGTAATAAATCACAATAGGCCCTTTGAATCTGTGAGGATTGGGTAAGTCAAATTTTCTATAAATTCTGTGGATTCAAATAGGCCTACAGTTACTACACTAAAGTAAGACACAACTAGAGTAGCCCCATTTTGAATCAATGGAACTGACAGGTTGTCTCACCGAATCCCCACTGATTCAATGGACCTGCTTTAGTGCAACTTAATATGCTAAGCAACAAGATTTCGGCCAACTTCTTTCTTTATAACATTCTTGTCTGTTCAGGTTTTTAAGAGTGCATTAGGTAAAGGTAAAGGTTCCCCTTGACAATTTTTTTGTCCAGTCGTGTTCCAAGCCATAGAGCCAGCGACTTAGACACGGAACGCTGTTACCATCCCACCAAGGTGGTCCCTATTTATCTACTTGCATTTGCATGCTTTCGAACTGCTAGGTTGGCGGGAGCTGGGACAAGTGACGGGAGCTCACTCCGTTACATGGATTCGATCTTACGACTGCTTGGTCTTCTGACCCTGCAGCACAGGCTTCTGTGGTTTAGCCCACAGCACCACCACGGCCAAATTTTTAATTTTTTTCCAACACCTTGAGACCCATACAGCAGGATATAAGATTTTAGAATGCATGGTTAAATCAGGGTGTCAGGTCTGAAATCCTATGCACATGGGAGGAAACAGAATTTATTTCACTCTTTCTGGGACTGGGTATTCAAGGGAGTTATGGTAGATCTTGTTGCTCTGTCACTGAAATTTGTAGCATAAACCAAGTCAAAACTTTCAGTCTATTCCTTCTTGCTAAAGAAATCATCCCTGCTGTGATTGAGTTTTTCTGAAGTACAGAAAGCTTATTTTTCTTGGGAAGCTTGTATTTTCTGATATGCTGTGTGTAATTCATAAAGGTAATGGATGTTCAATGTTTGCTTGTTTAATAGAAGAATTATCGCAAAATATGAATCTAAAAAGTCTCATTTCATAGTGCTTGCCACTCAGTAGGATTGTAGCTTTGTAGTAGCTGTGACATTGCACAAATGAGAAATATTAATTTATGTTATTGATTAATGAGGCAACAAAATTACTCGGTGATCTAAGCAATAATGAGAAGAGTGGCATTTCCCCATATTTGAGAGATACCCCGTGAGGCAAATGGAAAGGTTACCGTACAATACTTGCTGTCCTGTATCCAGTGGATATAGTCAGGATAGTCTGTTCCTCAGTGCTTTTCTGTAAAGGACCTTGGAGTAGTGCTAAAAACCTGTGGGACTTGCTAAGAAGAAAGAAGAAAAGCCATGTGGTATTTTTGCAAAATCCAGAGACAAGGATATTTTAAGGGCCCAATTAAACCTTCATTTTGTCCCTAAAATGTCAATAACAGATAAGCATTTGAATTCTGTGGAATTCTTTTTTCAAACTGGGCACTATGGAGCTGATTTCTCCTCACCCATGGAGAAGTCTGCAGGATTCAAAAGTTCACCTGTGTATGATATTTTAGTGATCTATCCTTGTTTTTGGATGAGAGTCAGGCATTTGTAACGGAATGTGTGCTTGTTTCATATAGAAATTTGTTCCTTCAAGGAGTATGTGTAAAGTAGGTAATGAAGCATGGCTGTGTTTAAGTTTGTTTTACTACCTAATGCATAGTAAGTGGGTTATTGCATTAATTCGATTACTGAGTGATGTTCAAC